ACAATATACCCCCCATCTTTTAATGCCCCACTATCTAAAGTTAAATAAACATTTAAAGCTTCTGCGAAAGATACATGAATGTCGTGAAAGATACATGAATGACGTGAATATCTGCCTTGACGCTCTAATTTCACGGTGATCACGCCAATGGCAATTTTTGTACATGGTTCTACCGGTCGATGTGCATACACTTTGCTCTAGTGCTAGAGCTACATATGTAATACCTTGCCATAGTAGCCCCGTTACGGAATGACAGATATCATGAGACAAGCCCAATACATACTACGACAAGGATCTCTGGCTTAGAAAGGGCGTACCCAGCAGCAGGTGAATGCACCCGAAAGTTATGAGGAATGTTCCATCCCTAAAAACATTGTCATCATCTAAAGCCTCACCCAAGTGCACTAGTTAACCTATTAAAGCCGCGCAACAACACTACTGAGATTGTAGAGATATTAGTGTATTTGGTATAGGTATTGGATTTAAAGCCCAATTAAGGGCTAGGCGAAATAAGATTCATCCTAAGGTCAAAAGTAATAAGTGTACCAAATTTCATTGAATTATCTTCAAAATTGATTACAAGGTTTACATGAACAGACTCTGAGCCGATTGGTGTACATTAAGGTGGATATAGGATCATAAATTCTATGCGTTACAAACATCAGCACAAATCCAATATACGCTCCCCAATAAAGTTGTAAAGGGTATAAAAAACGAAAATCTCTCTACAAAATAGCTCCTCTTATAGAAAATAAGTTTATTGTCAATGAATAAAAATTATTTCCTCTATGCAATTACTCACTATTTTAAATTTTCTCGACCTTGGTCCACATTATATACTCTATTCCGATTACCTCATAAATTCACTTTAAATACATCTTACATATTTTTATGGTATGCATATAAGATTCGGCATAGCTGACTATATCATGTCATGTATAAGTAATTAGCACTATTAAAATTGAAAGCATTTTGTTCTTTTGTAACCATTTTTGCTGTTTACAATTCTTTCCATTAAATATACATAAGTATTTATGTATGTATGTATTTGTACATTAAGAGTTCTTTTATTATTACAGTTCGCTTTTGTAGATATTCTCTACAATTGTGCACATATTAATTAAAAATCCATTGTATTGGGAATTTAATTCAAATGATTTAAAAAGTCCCCAATGTTATACAACATCATAAGATCATTAACGCTTTGCTTTAATAATAATGAAGTTAATAATGATTGTATTATTATTTAATGTTGTTAACGATTGTAACGAGTTTATTGTAGCGTCTATGGAACTATAAGTGTACTTATTTGGTTGTATCATTTACCCGATAATTTCATTATTTTCAATTTCTTTATTTTCCAGTCAGTGGACACAAAAAGTAGTGTATAAATAGATAAAAAGAAATAAAAATGTGGTTATATTTTACATACGATATGGACAGTGGGATGGAAGGTATTGTATTCATGAACATTTTAATACTTAAAATTAACATAAATTAATATTTACGTTTTAAAAACTTTTAAAAAGATCCAAAATATTTGTTTTCATTTCATTATTTATATAGAAAAACAAGTAGGAAAGTATAGTCGGGCATGGCCGGCCATATGATACCCTACACCACTGAGTATGTTCAAAATGTGGATTATATTTAATAACAAAGCATTTAAGTTGTTTACCTTAATTCCGAAATGTTTTAACAATTTGTTGAAGAAAGTAATTTTCTAAAAGAGAGGTTATATGGGGGCAAGGGTAAATATGGGCCTATCCCTATAATTTTTGGTACATGACTTCACGTTTACATTAGAGTTATATATGCTGGATTTCATCGTGTTTATTAGTGAATTATTGACCATCCAGTCATTTCCTGAAGGGGGCTTTGTATGGGGGCTATGGGCAAATAAAGTCTGATAATTATGAAAATCGATAGTATTATTAGGACGTTTATAGAACTAAGTTTTTTGTAGAGATACTACAATATTTAACATAATTATGAACTCAAAAGCCCTTTCCGGGGGGTAGGGTTGTATGGGGGCTAGGTGAAATAATGGACCGATTTCAACTATTTTCAATAGTTGGGCCGAAAAACACGTATGGTCCAAATTTCAGCAAAATATCTTGAAAATTGCGACCTGTACCTTGCGCACAAGGTTACATGGACAGCCAGCCAGCCGGACAGACGGACGGACATGGCTTAATCGACTCAGGAAGTGATTCGATCGGTATACTTTAAGGTGGGTGTAGGACCGTTACAAACATCAGCACAAACGTGCTGATACCCACCCACTATGGTGGTGTAGGGTATAATTATTCCAAATCCACTGTACTCTCTTATTGATAACCAAACATATGATAAAACACGAAAATGTAGAAAATGTTAAATAATGTATAATATGATTATTTAACAATTTCTGCATTCTGTTTTCTACTTTCATTTTTTCAATTTTGTTATGGTTTTTTTGTGTATAAGTCGATATGCATGTGATATAACAATCTTTATACTTGTGGTCTGGAAACACTTTAAAATTATAATAAAGTTCTGGTATCAATGAAATTGATATGCTTTATGCTCTATTTAATCTTGTTTTTTCTATTTCGACATTTTTATGCATTGATTTTCTCGCAAAGAATTAAGAATATAAATTAAATTCAATTATTTTCTTATATACGAATTTGACATTATCAATTTACATAAAAGTTCAATTTAGATTAATTAGAAATGAACATACAAATGAGTTATTGGTAGTTTTTGTGTAGAGTGTTTGTTCATTTATTAGCGAATTAGTTGTATAATTTTTTTTGTCGTTTTAAAATAACGTGATAACCGTATATAGACCCGATAACCAATATAAACTTCTAAGATGTAATACAAATGTAGCATTGGAAAAAACCAAAATCGCTATATCAAATTTCATGAGGGTTGTACCGTAATTGGCCCTACATCCATAGAGCAATAGTGAAATTTCTGGTGATTAGAACGATCCGCCAGTGCAAACCAGAGCAGGTTTTTTTTTTCATTTGGAACAGGCAAGAAAGTATATTCAGGCTGGGCCGACCATATGATACCCTACACCAGTTGTGGGTATATTTAAGATGTGATTTGCTTTTTACAGTAAAATATGTTAATTTATTTAAGGCATATTGTTGACGAAAATCTGATTTTCTGTAAGTGGCTCTATATGGACCCTAGCGTTCATATATCTTTTATTGGCCAATCCTAATAAAATTTGGAGGAGAAATTTATGTCTATATTAGTTATTTATGCTGAATTTCATCATGTTATTAATGTTTATAAATCAATTATGGATGTTTACGCAAGCATGAGAGGAACTTTGTGTGGGGACCAGGATCATATGAGGACCGATAATTGTGAAAAGTAAAGGATGTGATAGTGCTTTACTCGAACACCTGCCGTGTTGGCTTTATTTCAGGGTGATATTTTTTCAACCACTGAGTGAGCTGATTAGACGACTCACCACTGCCCTTTTGTGTTTCTTACACGCCGGTGGCAATTTTTGTACATGGTTCTGCCGGTCCATGTACAATGACATTACTCAAGTAGTCGAGCTATCTAATCTCTGACCATTTCTATCCCGTTGATTAACTTCCGAGATGCAAAAGTTGAGGACTTTGAGAGAACATACCATGGTAAATCTGGTATGAACAGAGTAAACCCTGAATATACCTGGAGAAGGAAGGAAAATTCAATTGAATCTCTTGTAAAAGATACCTTTCAATCATCACCATTCAACCCAGCACACTTCTCATTCATTCGACATACTCATAGAGAACAACAACCGACACACTCACTATAGATACATATATGGGCGGCAAGTTCCGTATACCCTTAGATTCATCCTGTATCTTATACATTTAACACCAACTCATTTCCAACTCTAAGTCCAACAGTCACTCCTCTGTGCGGTATCCGTTGAGCACCAAACTTATCCCCAAATTATAGACTTTAACGTGCATTAATTTTTAATCGATATTCTCTACCTGCGAATTTGGCTTTAAAACCACAACCACCACATTTACACCGAAAGAATTTAACGTGCATTAGTTGTTGAACAGATATTCTCTACCTGCGAATTTGGCTTTTAACCACAGCCACCACGTGCACACCAAAATGACCTCTCCAATAACCGGGACAAGACAAACTCCGAAACTCTTCCGTGCGGGCTACCGGTTCCCGTGGTACCAGATAATGTGGTTCTCCGGCTCGACATTTGATCATCACCAGTTTATAGTCCCGCCAGACTACAGGTATCTCTTTTCCCCGGGATTGCAATAACAGATGGGGTCTTTCATCAAGGTTACATGTCCCCGGGAGATGTGAAAAACACAGTAAAATTAAGATACTGTAAATAGTTTTCTGATAAGTTTTTAAATTTCTTAGTATAGCCAATAATAATGATTATCTATATAAACTTTAAAATAAATCCCCTAAAATCCACTTTTAATAACATCTAACACACTTTTGACCATCGAATAAAATTTTCAATTTTCTGATGTGTAAACAAGGAAAAATTTTTTTTCAAAATCAATTTAATACCAGTACCTTACACTAACTTGTTACATGTCTACCTAACTAAAATATAAACAAACATACTTTTCACACAATCTAACTAAAATAAACCCAATGAATTGTTTTCCCTTTTGGAACATCTGGTGTCCATTGTATGACACACAAACAAGCTATCACTATGTAAATAACGACAGTTTTAACAACCCAAAACTTAGTCATCTTAGTTGTCGCTTATAAAACAGGATAATAAACTGTAGTCGTATTAGTGTGTGAGTGTGTGTGCTGATGAAATATTTTTGCAAACCGGATAGAGAGCAGAAAGGGAAAAACATTTAAAATGTCAACATATTAGAACAAGTTAATTATAATTGTGTTTTCATTTAATTATACTGCAGGAGAACAAGTAAGTGACATATTTACATAGAATATTTAAGTATTTAATAGTATTTTAAGTAAATTGTTATTTAACAAACCTTATACGTTTTAAGGCCGTCGGCGGAAGTTCTTCATCATCTTTTGACCAAAACACTAAATTACTGAATTGTTGTTCAAGAGCAATTCCCTGCTTGTCAGCGGATGTTGTAGATTGGTTTATATTTTGTAATAAATCATTGTTAAAAACACCAAAGCCAGTGGTGGTTGTAGTTGCAGAAGATGAGGGCGATGTGATACCATTCATATTGGTAGCAGGACTAACATGTTTATTATTTTTGTTGGCAGTCATTTTAGTTTGATTTTTGTTATTGCTGTTGTTGTTACTGTAGCCTGGATTTAATGTATTGCTACCAATACCACTACTACTGCTAGTGCCATGAAAACTACTACTGCTGGTGGTAGTAGTGCTACTGCTGGTGGTGTTACTGTCATTGTGTACATTTAAAGGCTTAAGGGATTTTAAAATATTTTGTTTTTCTTTGTATAAAAAGCTACGGGAAACTTGACACTGCAAGTCAATGGTGCTGCCAGTTTTATAATAACGATCACCAACATCTCGTTCTTGGTCATCAATTAAACGCAAAGGAGGTTCTGCAATGTAACAAGACAAAAAAATATATATTAAAAGCAGTGAGAAAAACATGAATTAAATGCCTGTAAGATAATGAAATAACTGTATAAGGATTCTTGCACTCATGCTGGTTGGTCCTTACGAATTAAGGTCGTAGTTTATTTTTATTTTTTTTTGCTTTTTTTCGAATGAAAGAAGTCAACTTGGAAAACCTATAAATCGTTTAATTAATAAGACACATTTACTTTTATCGTATTTTCATTATTGTCTTGCACTTTTTTTAATGTCCTTAAGGGTAGGAGACTAAAAATAAATTTATCGTTTTATTTGTTACCTCCATTAAGTGGAAGTAATGGCAGAATGATAAGTGAGATTTATTAAAGCCTGTATATTTTATGGCATACGGAACTTATTTATTTAAAAAAATCATTTAAACCTATTACTATATTCCAGCTTTTGCAAGATAAAGCAAACTCAGCAATCTCTAAATTTAAGATCGGATTTGCCAGCAGACTTTTACTACAAAATAATAAGAATTGTTTAAATATAAAGGATATCAAGAGTTTTAGTCAGTTTTCACTCTTGTCGGGATCAAGTTTGTTGCTTCTATTTTCCAAATTTCTTTAATAAGTTTATCGACTTAAAATTTACCATTATAAAGGAGAAATAGTTACTGTTGGTAGATTTCTTTGTTGTATTTGCTTTGTTGTTTTTTGATCTTTTATCTTTCCCATCAGATTTTTAGCAGCTTTCACATTTCGATATTAACATTATTACTATTTTATCTATTGAAATAACCTAATTTTAAAATATGTGTTGTCCTTACCTATAACGGTTAAATTTGTTGTAAAAACCCGTGGAGGATGTGTTGATACTTGGCACATATAAATGCCAGCATCATCCCATTGGGTGGGATTTATCAGCAGACGCCAATTGTTGGGATACTGAAATTTTACGCGTATTCTAGGGTCGCTACTATAGGTGACATTACCTACAGTCAATAGTGATACTTTTTCCGATGTCCGTCTCACCCACATGACCTGAAATTAAAAAATGTAAAAAAAATATTGAAATAATTCCAAAAAAAAAAACGTACATATTGATATTTGTATATACCCAGCAAAAACATAGAAATGACTTATACTTACGCAAAAACTTACTTTTCCGTGACCACCACATACCGCCTGCACTACTAGTACTAACTTACAAATAACTATACATGTATATACTTAATTCCATATTAGCAAGCGATATTGGTAAGTACTTATTTAACTCCCTATTTATAAGCAAGTGTTGTTGACATTGAGATGTTTCAACGTCATCATCATAATGCCTTTAAATGCTCTTATAACCACTTGCAAGTTTTTGCTGGGTATGAGTGCAATTTTTTCCCAAATAAAAATATGTGAGTAGAAAAGAACAACAAAAGCAGTAACCATCCAACCGCAACAACAATGTCAACAACAACTACAATGACGAAAATAACATCAAGACCAATAACAATCAGTTCAACTACAAAAAAAAAAAAAAAAAATGCAAAGGAAATTTAATTTCCCTTCAGTCTTCATTTAAACATGTTATACATATATGTATCGTCACCTGAAATGCAAAAATGAGTAACAAACAAAAATGAAAAATTTTCATTGTGGTTCATTGCATTATTATAAATGTTGCCACAAATTTTTAAAAGTCAAACATTGGGATATAATTTATTTAAAGAAAATCTTTTAAAACAACAGATTTTTTAGCATTTCCTGAAAATTTTTGAAAAAAGAACTTTTACATTCCATGTGACGATATACATACTTACATACATTTTATGTATTATTATTTTACATGTGTGTTTGAAAAGTATTAGAGGTTTAAAGAAGTTATTTACCTCTTTGGGAGTTAAGCCAATCACCTTAATGGCAATCAAGCGTTCTATTCAATTTAAATATGTATTTTACTAAATATTGTACAATTCTTGGAATAAATAAATATTCATTGTGTTTTATATATAGATGCCTCAGTAACCGAAAGCATTAACTTTTCTGGTTATTTTGGATTGGAATTTTTTGGCCACTTATTCATTCAGAAGCCAATGGGATGTACTGTGTAATTTTTATCAATCAAATCACATTACATTAAATTTATGTTTATTTCAAAAGAAGCGACTAGATGTGGAATTATAAACGAATTATTTTGTTATTGTTTACACATCTATTAGATTTACGCTGAATTATTATTATATTATAAAGAGCAGCTCTTGTCATAAAGAACCAAAATTGTGAACATATTAAATATAAAAAAACTTCATCTTCATTCTTTTCATTTCAAGTGAAAAGTTTTACATTGTGAAATTGCATTGCTTTTATTAACGACACCTGTACGTATACGTGTTAATTATTTATTGTTATTACAAATATTAAGTATACGCCTAATTTCACAATTTTTGTTCTTTACAAAAGTAAATTAAAATTCCGCTTGGTAAGATATGAGCCTGAGAAAATTATCACTTTTTTGCAAAAATGAAGCCAAGGCCCCAAATCTTTGGGATCCATAAAAAAAGTGAATGAGAGTTGGTCAAAACTGGGAGACACGGGTATTTTTTTAGTATTTTATCTCGTTGTGGTGTCCGTACTTATTCATTTCGAATTTTATCCCAGTATAGTTATTTTTAGGCTTTTATGGACCGAACATCATACAATTTGGTAAAAAAATTATGTTCCCATACAGTTATTTGAAAGTCAGTCATGTTCATTAAATTAATTTTCAGAAAGAGACCTTATGTTGGGGGTAGGGTCAACCGCAAACTTGGCCTCCGGTAAGTTTGTGGTTAGTGTTCTAGTCTGGTAGACTGGAGGTGGTGAGTTCGATACCCGCCTTAGGCACTGGTTAGGGAGTGCACGATAGAGGCCTAGGTGTATTTCTTCGGTATTTGGTATATACACATCCTCCTTTCAAACTAACTAACTAACTAACTAACTAACTAACTAACTAACTAACTAACTAACTAACTAACTAACTAACTAACTACTAACTACTAACTAACTAACTAACTAACTAACTAACTAACTAACTAACTAACTAACTAACTAACTAACTAACTAACTAACTAACTAACTAACTAACTAACTAACTAACTAACTAACTAACTACTAACTAACTAACTAACTAACTAACTAACTAACTAACTAACTAACTAACTAACTAACTAACTAACTAACTAACTAACTAACTAACTAACTAACTAACTAACTAACTAACTAACTACTAACTAACTACTAACTAACTAACTAACTAACTAACTAACTAACTAACTAACTAACTAACTAACTAACTAACTAACTAACTAACTAACTAACTAACTAACTAACTAACTAACTAACTAACTAACTAACTAACTAACTAACTAACTAACTAACTAACTAACTAACTAACTAACTAACTAACTAAACTAACTAACTAACTAACTAACTACTAACTAACTAAACTAACTAACTAACTAACTAACTAACTAACTAACTAACTAACTAACTAACTAACTACTAACTAACTAACTAACTAACTAACTAACTACTAACTAACTACTAACTAACTAACTAACTAACTAACTAACTAACTAACTACTAACTAACTAACTAACTAACTACTAACTAACTAACTACTAACTAACTAACTAACTAACTAACTAACTAACACTAACTAACTAACTAACTACTAACTAACTAACTACTAACTAACTAACTAACTAACTAACTAACTAACTAACTACTAACTAACTAACTAACTACTAACTAACTAACTAACTAACTACTAACTAACTAACTAACTAACTAACTACTAACTAACTAACTAACTAACTAACTAACTAACTAACTAACTAACTAACTAACTAACTAACTACTAACTAACTACCTAACTAACTAACTAACTAACTAACTAACTAACTAACTAACTACTAACTAACTAACTACTAACTAACTAACAACTAACTAACTAACTACTAACTAACTAACTAACTAACTAACTACTAACAACTAACTAACTAACTAACTAACTAACTAACTAACTAACACTAACTAACTAACTACTACTAACTAACTAACTAACTAACTAACTAACTAACTAACTAACAACTAACTACTAACTAACTAACTAACTAACTAACTAACTAACTAACTAACTAACTAAACTAACTAACTAACTAGCTTACTAACTAACTAACTAACTAACTAACTAACTAACTAACTAACTAGCTTACTAACTAACTAACTAACTAACTAACTAACTAACTAACTAACTAACTAACTAACTAACTAACTAACTAACTAACTAACTAACTAACTAACTAAAAACTAACTAACTAACTAACTAACTAACTAAAACTAACTAACTAACTAAAACTAACTAACTAACTAACTAACTAACTAACTAACTAACTAACTACTAACTAACTAACTAACTAACTAACTAACTAACTAACTAACTAACTAACTAACTAACTAACTAACTAACTAACTAACTAACTAACTAACTAACTAGCTTACTAACTAACTAACTAACTAAAGCAGATAAATTGGATAATATGCGATATGAATGAAGCCAAACAACCGTTTCCAATGACAAATAGGGAACCTGTAGCGAATTCAACAGATTCAAAAGCGATGAACGAGTACAATGCTCGACATAAAATTTTAAGTCAAAAACTCTTTTCATAAGAAACTTTATAAAATTGCTAATGGCATCTGTCCATAAAAAGTTTTGATATATCGTTGAAATTTTAATGAAGTTACTATTTGATTACATTTATCTTTACCCCTAATATAAATAAATGTACCCAACAAATGAAAAGAAATTGTATTAACAAATAAAGCCAACGTTTAAGTTTATAAATGAAAATGAATGAAAAGAATATAAGGAAAAATGTCGGTTTTATATAACACTCTGGAACAGATGACCATTTATTGTTGCAGTCGGAAGTGCAGTCGTGGTTTTTATATACATACACATGTATGTAAGTTATGGTGGCCCCGTTTGTATGGAGGAAAAATTAGGTGTTAAAGTTTCAAACTATAATTAAAGTTTAATTGTTTCTAAGATACCAATTTCTCAAAAATTTTTTACTGACGTCAATATTTGGTGAGCTGGATCAAAGGATAATATGTTTCTTTTTGAGATTTTCATTTTCGATGGGAACATCAGCAACTTTCATTTTGTGGCCACCCTAATGTATGTATGTATATAGTTACTAAATTTTAATAAGAGCAATAGAGTAAGATTTAAGTTTCAGATAAAATCGCTGAGGTTATGAACTTGTGGAAATTTAATGTCAAACCAATTAAAATTTATTAGAATTTTTGTGTATAAAATCTTTATACAGAGACCTAATTTTGAGCCAAACATAAAAATTTACTTTATTTGAAATATGTATATATGCATGATTCGGTTATTCTCTAAAAATAACAAAAACTTGAGGGAAACATTTATAGTAGAATGTCACTTTATTTAATGAGTTTATTTATTCAGCAACAACTTACGTTGAAAAGTATATAACTCGTTACTTATTGTTTACAACTATTTACTCATCTATTATTTTATCTACACTGAATTTTAATAGGTCATTCAAGACCACAATACCGACAAGGGATGATAGGGCCGCGAACACTGTCCTAAGGGACAACGTGATCTCAATCTATACTGACTTCTCAATGACAGAAAGGGGCACGGGATCGGCAATCTTTTCCGAAAAACATAACCTTCTAATGTCTCACCGACTACCTGACACCTGACACCTGCACGGTCCTTCAGGCAGAGATATATGCTATCTATACAGCCGCGAGAAGAATCCGGGAACTTAATCTCGAAAATTCGATTATACATATATACTTGGACAGCCTTGCAAGGCTCTTATCTCCAATGTTAATCATTGGCACAACTGACACAACATCACGTTGACTTGATATGGGTTCCAGCACATGAAGGGATCCGGGGAAATGAAATATCTGATGAATGTGCAACCAAAGGGTCGTCCCTAGACTTAGCCCTTGCGCAAAAG